CGTTTAGGGTATGTCTGGGAAGGATTTTGGAGAGATGTTTCAGAAGACCGATACCCTTTCTTGCTTTAGAGATCGCTGCTTTGATATGAGCCGAAAAAGAAAGCTTTGAATCCAGAATAATACCTAGATGTTTATGTTCATCAACTTTTCTCACTGGTATGTTGTTAAAACGAATCTCTGGATGGTTGATTTCAATTCGTTTCGTCGAAAAAGTTAATTCAACAGCTTGTTTGTGTGGATCGGGGTTGAAGGACATTTTCCAATCATAGGCCCATTGACTTATCAATTCAAGATCATGGTTCATGTCATTGGCAGCTGAGTTTGGATCTTCCACAACGGTGAACAGCGATGTATCATCAGCAAAAAGCTTGATATTACACTTCATACCAGCAGCTAGATCATTGATATAAACAAGGAACAACAGGGGTCCCAGTATAGAACCCTGGGGTACTCCCGCCGAAACATCTCCCCAGAGAGAATTCTGTCCATTTAGGACAGTTCGTTGTTTTCTATTCTTCAGAAAACTTTCAATAAGCAAAAGTAATTGTCCAGTGACGCCACAACGTTTTAGTTTATAAATAAGGCCGTCATGCCATACCCTATCGAATGCCTTAGAGATATCGAGAAACACAGAGCGAACATCAAGTGGAGGATTACAATCAAAGGCTTTAAAGATAGTATGGGTGATTGAGATTAGTTGGTTAATCGTTGAGTCACCGGGACGAAAACCTGATTGATTCGGATTGAGTAACTTGCATGACACCAGGTGAGAATATAAAGGATCGTACATGAGTTTTTCAAGAATTTTTCCAAAAATGGGAAGGAGAGAGATTGGTCGATAATTTCCTTTAAGATTTTTCTCGTTTTTCTTGTGAACTGGCACTACATTTGCATATTTCCATCTTTCGGGAAATACACCCCGCCTCAAGCAGTTTTCGAATATAATTTTTAGAGGAGTAACTAGTGCAGCATCGCTTAACTTTACCATTCTGACTGATATTTCATCCCAACCATGAGCTTTATTGGGATTTAGAGACCTTATAATGTTAAGAATCTTTTCCTCAGATATAAGAAACTCGCTTATGAAAGAAGAAGGAGTTGGAACATTTAGTGGAATTACGCTATCTGTATCAATCGTCGTACACTGGAGAAGGAAATAATCATTGAATATCTGCGCCTTTTCAGTGAAATCCGTTATAAAAAAACCATTTTCTTAAAGAGGTGGTATTATTGGAATCTTAGCTTTGTTTAGGACAGTGTTAATTAAAGACCAATATGTTTTACTAGAAGTCCCAGGGTTGGCTAAGGTGTTTCCTGCTCTAAGGAAGAAATTGCGTTTGGCATCCTCAATCAACTTTGAACCTTCGGATATCATTTGTTTCATTCCTTCTAGCCTGTCATTTGGTTGACCGTTCTTTATGAATTTTCTATAGGCACGATTCTTTTTCCTTAGGAAGGTTTTGACCTTATCTGTTATCCAAGGTGCTTGATGGGGTCTAATCGTTTTAACTTTGTTGGGTATATAATTTGAGTAAATGTTTAGCAGAACTTCATTAAGTAATTCTACTTGCCTATTAGGACACGTCAAGTTGCCAAGGTGCTCTCGCCAGTGAAACATTTCAATGCTTCTCCTAATGGCAGTGAAATTTGCTTTGTCATAGTACCAAATCCTGCGTTTGTAGGGGAGTAGTTTTGCATTTGAAACAGATAGTTGTCCATAGATTATTTGGTGATGGCACTGGTCATGCAAAGAAGGATGGACACCAGACTCAATAAAGAGGTTAGGCTGGTCAGTGAAAATCAAATCAATACAGGATTTGGAATCACCCATCAGATGTGTTGGTTCTGAAATTAATTGATGTAAGCCTAGATCAGATGTTAGTGGCTCGAACAACTTTCCCTCATTATTCTCTATATCATTTTCCCACCATTGAGTTGATCGACAGTTAAAGTCACCCGTAATAATGACACAAAATGGATTTTCAGCATGCATTTTGGATAACATAAGCTCGAAATTCATCATGAAGCTATCAAATTCAGTCTGATTCTGGCTTGGACTTCTATAAACAACGGCGAAAAAGTACTTTTTCCTATTTATACGGATCTCATAAACAATGCATTCGGTTAGGGTCACTAAGTCAGAACGATTTATTGAGGGGAGAGAATCTTTTACGTAAAGCCCAACACCACCTCTTTTCACATTTTGTGGATGGTTTGCTTTAATGAATGAATAGCCACCAAGTGCGAGACCATCTTCATTAACGGTACTATCAAGATGAGTTTCTACAATGGCAATTAAATCGTAGTTGAAAACCGAGTTATATGCTTCAATGAGTGATGCTCTTAAAAAGTCATACGCTGCAATACTGTTCAGGTTCCAACAGCAAAAATCAAAAGTTTCTGGACCAGGATTCATTTCAACATCACCACTGAGCAGGATGCTCCTAAAAACCAGCCACTGTATGTGAAGAATGAGATAGATTATGCAAGCAAGGTTAAAATAGGCATATCGGGAATGAAATTGCTCGAGAGCAAAATATTTATGTCGAACAAGGGTAATGGCAGCACGCGGGATACGCTTGAGAAGTTCAATAGTCACATAAAATATTATCCTTGCAAATTGATGCATGCGAGCAAAAAGGAGGAAGCAACATAATTCCGTTGCCACGGAGTGCAATGCAAAAAATTGTATCAACAGCGCAAGGGGAAGAGCGAGGATCGAAATCGCAATGAAGCCATAACAAAAACAAAATAACAGAACGACTTGGACAAGAACTGAAGTCGGCCTGTGGATTTTGCCCAGTGGGGATGATATTTGAATGGACACATGGAAACACCCTATTGTTGCTCGCCATTGGTTCAATTCAACCGGCATCGTCATGCAGAAATCCTCTCGCTGGTCCTAAAGGGCAATAATTCACAATGTAACAACCATTAAAAATGCCTACAGAAGTTAACGGACAAAACAAATTAACACAAAAGGCAAAAGATACAAACTCAAAAGTATTAGCGAACACAACTAGCATTTAGTATCACGAGGGAAATGAATCGCAGTGAGCTGGGAATTACACAGATCTTTTTGTACAGCATAGTTTGAAAAAGGCAAACGAGAAACTGTGATAATGTTACCTTAGATAATCCAATGGGAAAGGGAGGGCCAAAAATGTAAAGTGAAGAGAACACTGATGTTGACTAGAAGTTTTTAGAAGCTGGATAGAAATTTTAGATTAATTTCATAGCCAAAAATCCGTTACTTTTATAAAACACAACTAAAGAAGCCAGGGATCGTTCATTCATTGACTCAACGGAGGCGAGTCATGGTTGCAGTCTTCAAGTATTTCCAAGGGTTAAAGCCTTAACATCATCAATGCTTTCGAAGAAGGAGAATTTGCCTTTAAACTTAACACGGGGCCGACAATTTACATCCGCGAATGCAAATGAGTCGCTGTACTCCTTGAGTAGGTCGTTAGCTGCGTTGATTAGGTTAAGCCTTGGCTTCGTCAAATCTAAACGAATCTTGACTTTGCTGGACTTCTTTCGTGCACGATAAACGGCAGTTCTATGTCGCCATGTTGTTAATCTAACGATGACTTGCTGTTTTGCTTTCCCATCTCTTGATGATTTTGGACCAATCCGATGGGCGCGGTCAATTACCGTGTCTGGTACGTCAACTCCAATTTCTGTAAAAACGTGTTTAACTTTTTGCAAAACATCTTCACTTGTCTCCTGATTACTATCTTCAGGGAATCCAATGCCGTCAATCCTTAAGCATAACCTGCGAGAGTACTGTTCATGGCTTTCTTGGTTTGATTTCAAGTGAGCAATATGACTTTCCAAAATGGCGTTTTTGGATTCCAAAACATTGATGTTTGTCTCCAAGCTTGTTATTTTCTCCATCATGCTGGTGACTAAAGCCATTATTTCTTGTTTCATTTCAGTTATGTCTTTTTTGTCGGCAAGATTATGGAGCTGTTCGTCTAAGTAAGATTTTAATTCTTCGGATACCATCATATTTTCATTAGGCCCTGCCGATGAACCTGCACGCGTTTTTACCATAGCACAAAAAAAGTAGGAAAATCATTACCTTAACTTCCAAAATTTCGTTCGGACATCTCTTGCCATATTTAAACCATACTTCAAGATGTAGCAAGTATATTCATTGAGTAACCCAGCTTATAATTTGTCTTTTTACATCGCGACGAAAAAGCGTGACTGTTCGATAGGACTAGGTAGCGATAGCCAAATCAAGTATTGATCGCAGGTATTGATCGAGAAGAGCTGAAACTGCTTTAGGCTAGGAACTCAAATTAAATCGCAACTCTTCGAATCGACAAAAAAGCGAAATACGACCTGCCAATGAATACCAAAGCTGTATCATATCACGCCTTAATCTGCGTTATGGTCTTTGAAGCCTTCAAATGTGTCATTTACTCTTAATCTTGAAATTCAGCTTTGTCGCACATAACTAGGAAGGTTGAGGTTGAATAATTGCCGCCAAAATTTCGTTATACACACAAATATGCGCATCTTGGGTCTTTTGTGTCAGAGAAAATGGGTGTAACATACCCAAATTTTCAGAGATAAGGGTGTGTTGCGATGCCGGTTATGTCAGAGATAAGGGGGTAGATATCCATTATTGGAACTCACATAGTATATAGATTCTTATCATAGAGTTAGGAATATGATTCTTATAGAGTGAACCCGCCGGGGTCAATACGGATCCGATCCCGTGAAAACGCAATATTTTCAGATCCGAATCCGTGTCAGATCCGAACACCCCGTCAAAAATGAGTTCGGATCCAAATGGTTCCGATATAGTTCGGATCAGATCTCATGTAAACAGGGCCTGAATGAGCTCCCCAGTGACAAACGGAACTACATACCATCCAGCCTTGAATGCGGGCAAGGCGGCGGGGAGACTTCATCCTATGCTTACAGCATCGGAAGAGCATAGGAAGGTGTTTCCTCTCTTTTAACCATCTTTTAAGAGATGAAAAAATCGTAAAGATAAGTTAGTTAGGGCTAAACTTAGGGGGAAGCGGAAGTGTCTCGCATAACAAGGGTTGTACTCCATGCCGTAAGTCTCGATGTCAAGTGTGCTATGATATGTGTGACAGTGATACTTTTACTTCCCATATAACTGATAAGGGATATAAGATTGATTTTCCGTTTAATTGTGATTCGTCCAATGTTGTGTATCTTATGGAATGTAAAGTCTGTGGTGTACAGTATGTTGACACAGTTTTATTTCTATTTCCAATCTCTTGGGTTATTTTCTCCTCATAAAGATGTGCCGCGCATAGAAAAACGACGTTGGAGTTGGACGTGACATAGTAAATACAGTGAAGGAGTGGCATTGGGGCATCTTGCAATGCCATGTAAAGCAAAAATTTAGTATGAATTGGCCAGTCTCTGAGATTTTTATGCCTTTGTTATGCTAGAATAGGGGTTTGTGCACCGGGATATTTTTTTCTGGCCATATTGATGTAGTATAGAGTGAGGCTATCTTGCAATGATCTAGCTAGTATGTTGCACATGGTCCTGGCGAATGTGCAACAGGCTTCTGCTACTTGTCTCTGCAGACCGACGAGAAGTCTATTTGTTACCTATGTTGGCTTCAGGGTAGAGACAAGTCGGATATCGATTTATTGGGTAGAGAAAGGTCGGATATCGATCAAATGCATAACAATTTATTGTTCTGCTCTTGAGGTGCCCCACCATTATGCTGGCTGGGTGTGTGTGTTTTTTCTGCCTTCTTTTTAAAGATAAAATTACCTATTATTTTATATATAGTGAGTCTGGTACCCAGGGTATCGTTCTACACACAGGAAACCAATTGGTAAATTATTGTCTTGTTTAGCAGGAAACTACTGGTTTTGCAAACTCTCTGTCTTTCTATAACATGTTTAACTTTAGAATATTTGTTTCTCAAATCACTATTTAATTCAATTAATGCCCTTAAGATTGGCTTGGGGGCCCTTAGGACTTACTCTAACCCCGACCTATGTCTGTTACGCCACTGATTCTATATTCTTAATGCTATCATCACGAAATAAACAGGGTAGATCATCCTGTTGCCTTTGTGGCTCAAGATTCATTGAATGAAGAAAGGAAGACTTCGTAAATGATTTGTCATAGAACTATTCTTTCTGATATTTTCACCCTAAATTAAATTACATTAACATTAATCTGTAATCAAAATAACATTTTTGCATATACTAATAATTATCAACATATACATACAAAATTGTTATAATATCCATAGTGCATAAATCAAAATTCGTTTACAAACTTAATCACAAATGCATTTCTTTAGCATCAAAAATAGGTAAACAACTGAAAAAGAAAGTGGTTTAACATTAACTTTTAAAAACTTACTAAATATCTATAGTGTATGTTAATGTATGCTTGAATTATGTTATGTAAAATATTAGTTAAAAATATATAAATATATAAAATATACGATATTTTAAATCGTTCTAAGGTATGCAGTTGCATAAAAATCGCTTGCTTTTGTGCACTATGACGATTTCAGAAGAAAAAAGCAACCACAAGTGTTTAATCGTTTGCTGTGTAAGGTCTTTCCCTGAGCAACATATCTCAAGGGCTCCCACATAAGTTGTAAACTCTGGGATGGGGAAGTGATCGGTGGGATTCATGTTCTAGACAAAATCTATTTTTAAACATTAGAGCTATGGGTGAAATATAAAGCATTATCTGTGTTAGATTTAGAATCTTTCGTGTTTGTTATTTCTCCATCCACTTTGTCAGCATAAAAGTTCTCTGGAAGTTGATCTTGGTCACAATATGCCACTGTTGTTTCCCCATTCATGTCAAGCTTTGGATATCTCAAAGCAAGGAACTTTCGAAGATCAAAAACTACGTCTCTTTCTAATGCTGCCTCTTCATAATTTTCTTTCTTATGGAATGTGTCCAAAAATTGTCTGACCATTTGCCTGCCCCTTGCATCAGCTGATTTTTGCATCAAAATGTCGAATTCTTCGTCTGCAGCTTTAGCTTCGATTTCGTCATAACTAAAACAGATTTTAAATTTCATTTGAATTGTAGACATACAAGATATCAAAACCTGGGTTTAAGAATACACTTTCATTTTAAATTATCTTGTGAAAATATTTGTTTTCGCCCGTTTTACAAACACATCAGAGATAACGATGTTCGAGACTGAAGTTCGCATGCAGGGTACTATGGGATTGCAAAACAAAGTAATTTGCCGATGATATTGGCGTAGCAAGTTTCACGAAGATGTGGTCGTACGACTGAAATCTCAATGAATTGCGCAGAGATACATCAACATACATCTAGAGAAATGAGATGTGCTGCAAACAAAGGTTGCTAGCCAGGATCCACTGATTTCAATAGCCAGCATAGAGAGGGATTTTTAGAAACAGGGATACGAAGTACTCATAGAGATGCGGAAATACTAGAATTACTTTAGGGTAAAAACTAGGGTGGGCACATCGAACTCCAATGGATAGAGCAAGGATGCGACAATGTGCATTATAATTAATCATAAAAGCAGCTGTTTCTTTTTCAAAAAAGATGGTTTAAACTGTTTTTAACCAAATTTTACAAGGCATGCGGCGCATTACTAGCATGCCTTGACGCTACACCACTGGTAAATTCGGAGATTTTTTTCTTGAATATTTGTAGCATGTATTATTGCTGCTATACTGTTCTAGCACTTAAGTCCTATCTAGTGATAGATCTATAAATCTTATGATAAAACTGGTAGAAATAAGCACCTTCGCATACTGGCAAGCTCCTTGGATGGCAGTTCTGTAAAGCAGCATTTGACGAGTAGGTGGAAGAAAAACACTGCTGATATTCCAATCGTTAGAAGAATAAGACCAGCCAGTCTTGAGTAGGTGTTGTATCTTTTCTTCTCGGTCTCATAAACAGCTTTTGAAAATTTGGCTTGTGCCTTCTCGTTGAATGGTCCAACCACAGTGCATGAGTATGCTTCAGAGAAAAGCAGAGACATTGTCAACCAGCTCATGAAGGCTAAAGCTGCAAAAGCCAGTGAAAACGACAAATTCTTTATAAAATGATACCAAGTCCGCTTTCGTCTGCCGAAAGTTGCTGTTGGAGGAACATCTTCGTCCTTTCTACAGAATCCTATCAAAGCCACAGAAAAGCTTTTCGATGCAAGCAATGATAGAATTGCCAAAACCAGTCCAGGAAGGACCATAAATATCCATCCATACATGTAATGGACTGCTATAGGACATTGAAAGAACGATTTGGTCAGCAATTGATTAAGGCATGCAGTTGCTGCTATAACCATTCCACATTGTAATGTGACTTCCTTTTGCTTGACCAGGGATGTTAAAGAATTGATATACACACTGAACGCCTGAGACATCTTTCAAGGTGACTTTAACTGTTTCAAAATGATATGAGCGTCACTGAGACTAAGCTGCTCTGAAGATATTAGTCGACACAAGGCCTTTTATAGGAGACCTTTGGTGCACATGATTGCAATGCCGGAACCAAAGCCACAAGGAGATTCCACCTGTTCTTTGATAAACGAAAGTACGCTAGGTGTGTCAGTGAAACGCGGAAAGGGATCTATGAATGACACAAATTTTTTCTCAAAATCCAACGAGATTAACCGCTATCAGAAACGAGATGCACGGAGGGAGATCTCCATTGTGAAAAAAAAACCACAACAGAAAATTAAAAGAAATAAGGATATCACCGTTAAATTGATCAAACACGGGCTCTGGTATCGTAACAGGGTGGACATGAGGTTGACAGGGGTGGACTGGGGTGGATTTTCCTGGACGCAGAGAAGTTTATGGCAATCAATAATAAGTTATTGGGAGGGCGTGTAGGGCTGATTTCATTTGACTGGAGCATTTGATTGTGTGACTTAATAAATTGCAAAAATGGGCGTTTTTATCATTTTCTAGGCCCCTGAAGAGGGTGGTACTATAATCCGATTATTATCTAACTTCCCCACTCCAAAACGTTCCTCTAAAATTCGTCCCTGATTTCAATATAGTGACAATGACCTACTTGAACAATTCGTTGTTACCTTATTATTTATCTGCACATTATAGAGCTGTTGCCCTCCGTGGAATCTATGAGTGAATGGCTTTAAACATTGAATTTCATTAATTAAAATGACACATTTTCTACCATTATTTATACATATCTTTAAATGGCCTTAGATCAGTAAAGTATTTTGGTGCTTAAGTATGGAATGATACCCCAAATAGGGCCTTAAATAATCTACGGCATACAAGATTTATTTTATTTTTCTATAAACATATCACCTTGTTTATTACGCAAAAAGGATATTTTGGTTCTTTCTTTTTTTATTTCATTTTTCTTTATATCAAACTAGTAATATGTCTGGGTTCATTTCTTAAATTTTAATATTTCCCTTTTTCGATTTTTCAATGCAACATTCTAGTTTGCAATCATCTGATATTCATACATAAATTTATAATGTACGTTTCTGTTTCGACCATTATTTGTGCAAGTACGCCCACAAGTATGTGATATAAGAGCCAAAATGGGCGTTAACCATGTTTCCTTTTTGTCATCCAGTTGGTTATTGGCTGGCAACTCCCACGGACTCTGTTTCAGGCAAACTTTGCTTCGTTTTGAAATACTAAAGTTGAGAGGAATAGAATTTTACTTAAAAATTCATACAAGACAGCTTTCTAAGGTTGACAAACCTAGTTTCAGGGACACGTGCCCCCTTGTGCCCCCGGCTCCTACATCTATGCAAGAACTCATTCTTGCCATCATCTAGGTCCATTGAATAGAGAATTAGTGCCTAACCATCGAAAGAATAAAATCGACCCTATCATTTTAGCTGTCTTTTCAGTTTTATATAGTGATTTTGGGGATTCCCTTTTTTGTCACATTAAGAAACCATGTTTTCAGTTATATCTATTGATGTATGAAAAGAAAAGTAATATTTTCTTTTTTATGTTGTGACCAGACTCAGGCACGTGGCTGTTGGAACCGAGTCATGTGAACTGAGTCGCTTAATTATTCGTTTGTAAGTTGTAGTAACACTATATGTAAACGTATTGCTTTTGTATTTCATTGGGTTTTTCTCTTAATCCCATTGAAAACACATTGGCCTTATTTGGAGTTGCAGTGTAGAACAAAGAACAGTGTACTGAGAACAAAGTTTTTGGTTCTACTTGTGGTTTGATGTAACCCACTGAGTTTACTATCCGGGGGGGGGGGGGGTACCCACATTATGGCCTGACAGGGGGTCCGGGGGGTACTCAAATTATGGCCTGACAGGGGGTCCGGTCAGGGTCAAAGAGGGCCAAAGCTAAAATTTTAAAAAAATATTCTCAAATGGTAGTATTTTTTGACAAAAACCCTCAAACGGTAGCATAAAAACCGAAATTATTTCCTTGGTAGCATCCATTTCTTTGTGCTCTCCTGGTCCTTTTTTGACAAATTTCTTCATGATTTCAGTCCATCATCTGGCAGATGGGGTGAAATTATCGAGTGTTTACATGCAGATTCTATCCCACATTCCGAGAAGATCATCCCACCTCCAGCCTGTGTGATGTCAAGCGGGACAAAATCTGATGGCATGTATATGAAAATTGCATCCCTTTTATCCAGCTTCATCCCACCAGTCAGCGTTTACATGGAAAAACATTCATCCCACCCAAGTTAGATCCCAGCTCTCACGTTTTGGGACCTAGCCTAACCGGGATGGCTCGTTTGCCATATAAACGCAAGAGGGTGGGACCTCACCTCTCAGTTAACAGTCTGGAGGGTTGGATGAATTTCTCAATATAAACAGGCCCCGTGGCTCAACTCCCAAAAACAATTTTTATCGCAGCTATTTCATTTTAAAAACAACCTTGCTAACTACTTTTCGTTCTCCGATATTTCAACTGCTCGCGATTAATCAATCTTCATGTTTTGTGTTGCTTTTTATACAGAACATTGTTGAACATTGCTTTTGCTTTTGCATCCACGCTAAATGTGATCATCAAGCAACTATGGGTAGGGAAGAGTTGCTATTAAACTTGAATCTCGGAGCTGCAACTTAGAACCGTCCGGTTCTAAACACTTAAACATGTTTTTTATGCTTAAACGGAACTAAATTCAGTTAATGCAAGACAATTCTAATTTTATTTTTTCGTTTCATTTTTATCTACACTCCCCGAGACCAAGCTACTTAGACATCATAGCCCAATCTTTTCAAACAGGAAAATCTAAGAAAACTATAGACATATTTAGCAAAAGTGTCGCAAAGCATTTTTTTAAGGACTCGAATTTGATTCATAAGTTTTCCTGATGGAATTATTATATAAATATTGCACTCTTTTTTGAACCACTGTGAGAATATCTAAAAAATTTTTCCAAATTGTTGCGCTCCCAACCGTCTAATCAATGACAAAACATTTTGATCTCCAAAAAGTGAAAGTAACTGGGCTGAACTTGGCAGCCCATCATATGATAACTGTTAAGCCTTCAATGAATTCTTGTTTAGGCGGAATCATTGAAGTTATTAACCTTGACCAATCTATGTTTATTTTCCCCTTAGACAACATTCTTTAACAATGAAGTCTATGAATTGAAATATAATGCTCATTATATTTTTTTGAATTAAGTTTACACGTTTCTGTAAAAAGCCCTGGCAAAATGACTAAACATTTCACTTAACAGTTCACTCAACAACGCTGAACATTTTTGACCATTTTTTGACCATAAAACTTTGCTCAACAATACTCAACACGACTTAACAACACTAAACAGGGTGGCAAAACGAATAAACTTTCCACAAAACTTTTGACTAAACAGTTTGCCAGGGCTTAAGAAAATATTTTATAAGGAAGTTATCTATAGGAAAAATTCGAAGGAAATTGCCTTGTGAGAGTGAAATACTTTGACAATAATGTGCTGAACATGAAATTTTTAGGGTTCGAAGTTGGGTTTTTTGGAGAAATATAGCATATCTATAGCATTACATTTTCTTCATCACTGGGCATGCTCAGTAACGTAAAACTTTCCCATTTAACGTTTAGAAGTTGTTAAGAAAGCTTTAGTGCTGAAATTAATAAATAGCGCTTTAGCACAATCTTTTGTTCAGTCTCAAACTCATAATCTATCACTCAATTTGGCAATAACTACCAATTGCAATAAACGGACCACTGCTGTACCTCTGCTGAAGTTTCCCTACATATTTGTCTGCAGGTGTGTGTAGCCTGCAGTACTGTAGCTCTTGGACCTGTAGCATGTGGCTCTCGAACCGTAGTGTAGTGGTTGTCATACAAGGATAACGAAAACCGCATTAACTATTTTTGTCGTTTTCGCGGAACTCCACAAGGAATCACCAACAAAAACGAAACAAAGGAGATATCCGAAAACCAAAAGCAAATATTTAATGTCACTGGATATCATAAGAAGTGCGCCTTCGCCAATCAATCGGAGATGATGTGAAAGGCAGTAGAATTCTAAAGCGTGACGTCATCAAAAACCCTGTTTTTAGAATTTTTGAATTTCAACCACAAAACATTAAAGATAACCAAGAAATATATTCAAATATGCAAAATTGGCTAAATATGTCTAAAATTGGTTGAGATATTGCCAATGAAAAGTTTGAAGTTTGCTAACGAATCACTGTTATTTTCACTCTGTTCATAAAGTTATGAAGAGAGACAAAAAAAAGAGGTTTGATGGGGAAAGAGCCGAAAGACATGCTGCCACATCTCTGCCAATTCGTAACACAGTTCACTGATTTTGTACATTTGAAGGTATTTCAAGATGCTCTTTCGGGTTAAAATGGATCCAAATTCAAAAATTCTAAAATTAAATTCTGGTGATGTCATAACTTTAGAACTCTATACTTGCCAACGAAGAGGACACCGCTAAGCGAGGGGGCCCTTTATGTGGCCTGCCTTTTGCATATTCTCATGTATTTCTTTTTAATATTGTAGGGGAGTCTGTAGGATCAATCGTTCTATTCCTATCTGTCGAATTCTATCTTTCTTTTGAATTTATAATTTTATTTTCGCTTTCTTCCTTCGCTTGATAACGGGCTACAATGTCCGCCAAAAGTAGCTGGAACATTGAGATCGTACTCGTAATAAATGTATATTTTTCAGTTCATTTCCCTTTTTCAAGCAGACGGAACCCCCTCCCCCCCCTATACAATGTTGTGACGAAGGATGATCATGTCGCTAAACATGGGTTATACAATTTGCGCTCCAACATACATTTGTTGTCATTTTCCAGTGGCAATCCAACATTGTAAATGGGGGGAGGGGAGGCGTTTAGTAGGAAAGATGATTGAACTGTTCCAACACTTTTGGCGGGCATTGTATGCTCGAAACGTCGTTAATGTAATTAGTTCCTTCTTTCCCCGTACATACATGATACTGTACGATACGCAGTCTAGTTTATTTACTGAGCTTTGTTTGTGTCGATACTTCAATTGTATCTTTGATAGTATAATATAGATATGTCTTCAACCATACCTAATTTCCCGTTTTCGATGGCATTTTATTACTTATTATTACATATTTACATTATTACATTATGATATTATTTCTATGACCATCAAAACACACTCTGCAAGAAGACCGTGGCTCTATTTGCCAAAAAATAAGAACCAAGTAAGAACATTTGAGTAAAACCCAGCCCTAGATGAAAAAGTAGAAAAAATGCGTTTTTGAAAGTTTTCCATCTTATTAACAAAACAAGGCAGATTTTGTAAGAAAATTACTGTGCAACTAGAAAATTCATGCAAAGAAGGTTTCTTAGGAACGACGGAAAACGTGTGGTTGCACAAAATCTAATTTTGACTTGCGGAATAATCTTACGACGTGCGAGCCTCAAATTATACAAAAAATAAGAACATCGAGCCTTGGTAAAAACAATTTTTTTTTCATAAAAAAGAGTGTGGGGTGCACAAGGCCACCGAGAGTGGGGGCAAGGGGGGGCAAATTGCCCCAGGGCCTCAAGATCTAAGGGGCCGAAACAAATAACGAATTCAATTTCAACAAAGGACTTAATCAAACGTTGCAAAAGTTTTCCTAAAAAAAGTACACAGCTTGAAACGAATGCAAGAAGTGAATTTTCTGAAATTCATTTTTAACGAATCTGGAGGTCGTGGTCGCAAAAATTTTCTCCTCGCTCCGCTCGCAAGGGGCCCCAACTTGTGCTTTGCCCCAGCGCTTCATAAACCTCTCAGCGTTCGTGGGGGTATTTCAAGGCCTATATGACGCGATGCATTGCGGCATGTTATGATGAACTTTACGTTGGCGAATAAACCTAGGAAAAAGAATTTGATCGTGGCCATGTCCTTGGCGTAAGTATCCAATGAAGAATTTCGATAATGAGTTAGAGAGCTGGCTGTTGAACAAAAACCACTTATGTTCTCACTTAGAACAAGTTGACTTGCATCGTTATTCCGATTTTATCGATGACTTGATCATTACTACCCAGCCCATTTAGAGGTAACTTCCACAAAGACATCTAGAAAGTTAGTTGGCTCAAGTGGTTAGCCAATTACAGCAGAAAAATTAACAACATACCTACAATTATGTATATTTGCATATAAAATGGGCGAGCGTTATCATGGGTTTAAGTAGTTG